GAGTATTTACGATTATAAATTCTACTGTGAGAATACGAAGAACTCGATAATTCATGTTTTTTTTTTCCAGAAGAAACTTTAAACAAAACGCCATTTTGTAATTACTGATCACGAAACTCTTGTTACTTATTTGTTAGTAGTCGTGAAGTATAAAACTATTTTTATTATCTCCGACGACGTTTTCGAATTTATTTTAAGAATCTTAAGTAGTAGTCAATTGTTTTTGGCCAAATAAACTTTAATAAAAAGTAAAACACACAGAAAATTCCAAAATAACCTTTTTAAAACAATTTCATCTATTACAAAAATATTATCCAATCTATTATAATAATATCCAAACTTTGGTTTTTCTATAAAAAAAAAGTATATATATTTTTAAACATTTTTAATTCTTCCGTATCATTAAATAAGAAGGATTTGTTTTAGTAAGAATGAAAAAAATACATTTTTTTTTTCAATTATAAAATTATGCTTGAAAAATTTCTTTTAAATGTCATATATAACAAATTTAATAAAAACAATATTTATTTTAATAGAATTACTATACTTAATACTACGTATCACAATATTTAATCGATAAAAACTATTTCTTATTTTGTTGAACATACTGACAGCTACTTTCTTTGAATAACTTGTATTATTAAACAAATTATGTTAAATATCTATAGTAAATTCTTGTACGTCAATATTTGAAATATTTCCTTATTTCAAGTAGATTAAATTGTTTTCAAGAGTTCTTTTATTTTTACTTTACTTTGTACTCATTTATGTTTAAGGTATCGATAGATAAAGATGAAATATTTGCACGTAACACGAGTAGCTTCTCAGAGTCACTCAGCCAAATTCTCAGTCATGTAAATTTTACACACGGGCACTGTTTTACTTTGAAAAGGTTGTAGTGGTTCTCTTCTTATGGTTCGTTCGGCAACAATAATAGACAGAGTGCGGTCACAAAATTTCGTGGAGCGCGACCATTGTCTTATTACAACCACCAAAGTCCGAAGCCTCATGCCGTTTTTCTTTATGCGTTTATGGTTTTCACCCACCACCTCTCTGCAAAACTGCCGCCATTATGTTAGTAGTCGGGAGACACTTCACTCGGCTTTATGTATTGTTGAAAATGTCACGAGTGTACGCGGTTGGGCCACAAAGTTGTTGTCTCAATTGGCGAGAGGGCGAAATTTCGTTATGCTACCGGGTCGAGAGCCCTCTGACCGTTCCCCTCTCTTTGATTCCTTCCAACCATTCATCTTCCTTGTAGTACACGACCTCGAGTACATAAATACCCCTACGTCACAATATACATTCATATTTTACATGTATATTACATACAATATCCAAATCTATTCAATAAATATAGTACATTCATGCAGAAGTAATCCCATTAGTTTTCCAACGAATTGCAACATCAGAATAGAAAATATTTTTAAAATCTTATTGAAATGAAATTCTGAATTTTTATATATGATGTAATAATTTAGTGCTGACAAAATTTATCTTTCAAAGTTAACAAAGAAAGATTGGTCTCTTAGTAGTTTTACTTCAATGTGGTTCCAGGGAAACTATTCATTTATACGCGATACAAAAATTAATTGAATTCAGTTTTTATTTTTAAAAATCGCAAAAAACTCGAGACATTCGTTAAAATTAATACTTATAAATTACGCTTAAAACAATTTCTAATTAGTCACTTCATTTTATTTATTCAGATGACTTTTGCATTTTTAGACGTGCGTTGTGTCTAAAATGAATTAAACATTCGTTAAAACTTCAATTAAATTTATTTGTATTTTTTCTCCAACAATATTTATTTGCCCTACTCTATTGCAATCAATAATTGGTAGCTAAGTTTAATAAAGTAAAAGTGTTTGAAGAACCTTTGGTCATACAACAAGCTTGTTAAATATGGTGTATTTTAATACGTGAAAATTCTCGACATACATTGTTATGTAATTTCTTCAATTTATCTTAATGGAATAATATAATTATAAAGTGGGTTTAAAACGTGACACACAGATCTTTTCACAGTAAGTGCTTAATACACAACCGAGTTCGAGCCGATTTCTCAATAATAAAGTAAACTGTTACACATACTTGAACAAAGAACAATAGTAAAACATTGATAGTTTTTAATTTAAAGAAAGTATAAATAATGTTATTAGTGTCGATAGGAGAAAAAAATCATCACATCGATGTCATTCGGATAAATATTTAATTATTTTACTCAATTTCTAAATTAAAGTAATGGATGCATCATTTTATTGATGTGCACTATATGATCTAATACAATGTTGACACATTATTTCACAAAACAATTTACTCGTATAAAGAGTTAAATAGCGTAATAGGATTTTTACCCCGTGTGTTTATTTACCCAAGCTAATTTAGTAATTTTAAATTTATAATTAATTCATTAATCTTATTATTTATAACTATAATTTTTAAGCTAATCAAATATGATATCAAAATTGTCAATTTCTACGAACTGTGTATATTTAAATCGATTGACATTTTAACAATTTTTAAGTAATAAAAATTAATTAAAATTTTCGGTGGCTTAAATTTATGACATAAATAAAAGCTTATTTTTTCTCATAATTCATTTGGTTATTTAAATTTTAAATTTTAATAAAAAACGAAAACTTATAAAAATTCTACACTTTAATTTGTTTACTTTTTCATTGGAAGAAATAGAAATAAATCAATTCAATGGAATATTTGTTCAATTGTTTGATTATGGTGGTATGTATTTAGAAGCGTTTTATAATAATTAGGGATTACATATCTAAAATTGAAGCATTTATTTTTTTATTTTTTAATATGCAATATTTATACGCTATTTAATCAAAATTAATAATACTACAATACAAACTACAGAAAAAAAATATGTCACCTACGACTAGTTCAGAACCATGGCCAGCAAATAGACGCATACTGACATTTTTACATTAATTACAAAAATATATTATTATTTCTCGGAGTTTGGTCTTAACTTTGGTAATAGCGAAGACAGAACATGTTAGTGAGAAATCAACGTTTTATGTTTTGTACTTAAACCATTTGTGTAAGGCAAGTTTAGGCAGAAAACGCATGAGCGCTTCGAATCAACCATTTCACTGTATATACATTCTGCTGTATTGCATTGCACCTCTCGTTATCTCTTGGAAACTTTGCAAAGTGTTGCACATGTGGTTAGTTCTTTGTTGAATTGAAATCATCCTTATCAGCAGGCGCCACGTTGTCGCCGAATTCAATGCAAAAAGTTTCCCATACACCCGTATATTATAACGGTATTCCAGTGGAGGATACGTCATTATTGTTATTTTTAGATGATATTTATACGATAGCGTCACGTTTGACGAGTTCACTTGGCCAAAAAAGATAACTGAATACGCTTTTTAGTAAAAAGTTCACAATAAAATATAGTCATTTATTACGCACTGGATCAATGTGACGATTTCAGATAAGTAAATATTAGTTTGGCAATCATTGCCTAAATCATGTCAAGTTGGTATATATCTAATTCATTTCGTTGTAACGAATAAACCACATGCACTGCGGAAATACATTTATGTGAAAGTGCCGTCCAGAAAAAGTTTACTGTTTCATACGATACAGCAAGACTGGAGGACGGTTGGTTGTGCACTGCACTAGATTGCCGTCTTATCACGTCTTTGTCGTGATAGGCGAGCGGGCAGATAGTTAAGTAAGGACACTAGAGATTCACAGCTGTCACGTGATGTGATGTACACGGTGGTGTTTGCGACAACTGGTCCGTCAGGTTTTTTCTGAAGACGCTCTCCACCCGACAGTTACATAAAATGTAACCAATCGTATTTTACCCCAATAATCATAAACGACGTCCGATAAAGATGCCGACTAAAAAGAAAACTTCTGGGACAGTAAAAATAGTCGTTGTCTGTCAATAAATAATGAATTACATGTCGTATGACGGTTTAACATAAAAATTATGGTGCCATGTCGGGTTCGAACAGTATGGACATGACAGATACTTCAATTCCTCTACTGGGTAGATGGGAAAATTATTATATTCATTTTGTCCGGTCCCAATGCTACAGCAAATGGTTATTTTCTATTGTTTTCCGATCAAATATTGTTTTGGCCGAAGTTGTTCGCCATCTCCACGATAAAGACAAAAAAGAGAAAGCGGCTTTTATGTTCCTGTCAAAATAAATGTCCGAATAAAATGACCTAAAGACTTTCATACTACAGACTTTCGTATTTTGTGTTTCTTTATTTCGATGATACAAAGCACGAACGCTCACAAAATTTTAAGTGCTTGGCCAGATAAATGTCAAAACGTCGATTATTTCAAATCTCGTCGATTTAGTATTTATATGGATGTAACGTAATGGCGATGGTGAAAAAAAGGCTGGCGCTGGGAATTTCGTGGTTTCCTTTAATCCATTGGTCAGGGACCCGACTGTAAAAACCACTAATTGCCTACAATACACATACATTACAAATACCTCCTATCCTTCACATGTGATAATAATTGTGTGTAATTAATTTCCGGCGAGACTAATACGTTTTTAACACATAGACGAACAACGACTAGTATAGATAAATGAGCGTTGTGTTTACTCGCAAGCGGCACACGATTATAGAACGAAATGAATTAATGGCGAACAGGAGACGGCAACAGTAATTTAAATCCATAAATTATCCCGATACAAGGGTAATGGTGGGAGGGATTTGAGTAAACGGGCCGACAAGAGTAAACGCAAAAAAACACACATACACACGCAAAATTTTTAATAAAATAATAAACGCGGGACGTGTTTTTAATTTATCTTTTTTTTGTTTATACAATAATCGTCGCAATAAATAAAAAAAGGCGAATTTATTGAAATAACGAAATGGACCACAAAACACACACTCCTAAACGCGCGCGCCCTGTGTAAACAACGTGACCAACATGCATACCGAGATAATGTTACCAAGTTACCGCAAATGAATACGAATTCGAGTTAACTTACCGACAGGGCTCTCCTCGTTCCAATACGAATCGTCCAGCGTGTAGTCAGCTTCTGAAACAAACGGTTAATTCGATTAGTCGTTTTAAGGAATACATCTGTAAGACGGCGCTCGGTGTAGGCAAATCTAGTGCGTTGCCGCGAACAGAACGCGATGAGTTTGAGAACTCTCCGAAGAGTAGTGTTTTTTTTTTTTTTTTGAAAGATTCGCGTAATGAAAAAAACGGCACCTTCGGGAGGTGACTTGCCCTACCGGACACGTTGCTAAAGTAACACGCGTGAACTAATATTTTACACGCGTATGTGAGTACAAATGGTATTTTGTATTCAAACGAAAGGCGAGGATTTATATTTTCGAACAGGTATCCACACCAAAATGTACATGAATAATACATGCAGACGTACAAAACGTTTTACACGCGCGTTTTTAAATTATTAGTATCTAGAGAAGCTATACGAAATCGTGAATGTATTCAGCATCCATGGCGCACATCGAGTATTTGTTTTTGTGCACATACTTATTGTGTAACATGTACGGAATATATATTAGCCCTCCGAGTAGATAATGTCGAGACTAACCCATAAACTAATTTTATCCGACCTGTCACCTAAGCTTAAACAACGTTTTTACGGCTGTTGCTGGTGCCGAGTACTAATTTTTTGCTATTTATGTCGTTTCCTTCTGTTTAAGAATTAGTGCGGAATAGGGTTTTGTTTATTTAGAATGATGCATCGTGTAACGGTATTGTGATATAAAAACCAAAGGAAATTAATACCGGAAACTAATTGTATTATGTTAACAATACAATTAAACTGTACACGCACAACAGCCAGTAATTTTTTATGTACAAAGTTGTAGGTTTGCATAATTTTTAGGTAAAGCGTTGATGTTTACTGAAAACGCTGCAAGTTATCTTTTTCGAGTTATATACAGAAAACATGACGACCAAATGCTATTAGTCGTAAATGACAGTTTGTGCATCTCACTTGGGGTGGAATTAAGCAAAACCGCGCGGAGTATCGCAAATACTCATATTTGCTTACTTGAAAAATAAGATGATTAATTAATTTTTCAGTATTCGTGCGCTCATCAATCTTTCGATAATGCGTTGCGAACGCATAAGATGTTCGACTAAACGGTAAACAACAATCTATCACATTATTGTTGAACGTGTTGCGAAACTAATCGTTATTCAGTCATAACTGTCAATCATATGCCAACCTGTGTTTTAGTAATAAACGCCTTATGGGCACATAAATGCTTACAACGGATAGCAATAACTTTACACTTATTAATACCCGGTGAGCATTACATACGAGATACTGTTGTCTGTCGACAGGTTTTTGTAGCGGCATGGGCATGAACACTAAAGATAATGATAGTAATGATAAGTTAACAGTCCGGTAGTAATCTTGGGAAAATATACTTGCTCTATACGAGCAATAGCTGTTGGTGTTTAGTGTATTTTCTTGTCATTGGTTTTATTCGCGTTATTACACTTTATTGGCGCACGGTAAAATGACCATGTTATTGTTACTATTGTGGTCTTCTCGAGAGTATCATCTGTATACAATTTTAAAATCACAACAACGATAATGCAGACTCCCTAGAGTTGGGAATCCACAGAGAAAGAATATTACGTTCAGATTGTTGCTTGTTGCAAGAAACCATTGTACGGAGGTTTACAAGACAAATGGCATTTTGTCTGAACACACTCACGTGTGTAATTTTATGGTATTACAGATATTATTTCCAAATGTAGAAGCGTGCAGAGGTTTAATCATATAAGCAAAAAAAACCTCATCAGCTTCTTTTGTGTTACGTACTGGAAAATGTTTTTCTTCGAGTCGAATATAAATTATTTAAACCGGATAGTCTCTCTCGATTTTTTCTCGTGTATTTATCACGGAATAAGTATGAGTTAAGAAATAACAATTTTTACCTCCTCAGTTCACAAGACTAGGCCTAATAAAATTCCACAATGCTTAGTCATAAACTTTAATCCAATTCAGCTACATCAAGTGCGATATGAAACCACATTGAACTACTGATTGTTTCCATCTAAATAAATTTCATTGGTTTTAATATTAAAATCAAGTATATGCGGTACAACTTTAATGAATTACATACATGTGTAAGTATGTATACTCGGTCATTTTTTTATATTGGCCACTTAATTAATCAATAAACTATTGCGAATTTTATTTCAGATTTATTTCAACTACATGTTTTTTTTCGATTTATCAGTCATGGAGTTCTTTTTACGTTCATTCCTCTTACATTACAAAGATGTCAACTTTATTTTTTAAAACAACAAAATGCATATTTGACTAGTCTATAAAATAGAAAATTATCTAAGTAATAAAATGATTAGTAAAAAAGTTCTAATGTTTAAGGGGTGGACATAAAAAACACGTTCTAATTGATAAATTGAAAAAAAATGGAACTAATACAAAATGAAATAAAAATTTTCCATATTTTATTTATTTACACGGTCTTCGTTTATTTATTAAGAAAAATGTATTTTTTTATCTAATAATAAGTAATAAAAATAAAAACGTTTGTTAATTTTTTGACTTACTAAAACAAATGCACTTATGAAAAAATATTAAATCGTTCATTGATGAGAACTTTTTTTTTTTTTTTTATACATTTTTAATAAACAGTGAATTCTCTGAATTATTTCTTGTCTTTAATATAAGTTGTTAATTAAAAAAAAAAATTAGCATCATTCACATTTCTATAAATTCTACTTTAACAGTATTTTTTCTTATTTTTAATTTTCATTGCACAAAATGTTCAAAAAGTAAAGAAACAGGTCAATTATTATAAATAATGAGGACTGTGGAAATCCGTTTGCTTATTTAGTGAACACTATATAATGTGTATACGTATTATGTATTTGAAAGTATGGTTATTATCATACTTTAAAAGTAATTATTAAAACTACATCTAAAATTAAAACTTATCAGTTACAAAACAATAATGTTCAGTTAAACTTAAGTACAAATATAATTAAACAGATTATTGTAACAAAAAAGGTATTTAACCGACATTAAAAATTCGTCTCGAGACTTAATGAATACAACTTTTTATAATAAAATCTTAAATTACTTATTAAAATTAAAGTCGAAACCTCCCGATTAAATCAAAGCTCGTTTTTTCATAGAATTAGCTTTATTGTTAACCATAATAGCTTATAATTAAAACTTATATTAATACATGATTTGCTAAAAGGTCTTTACAGATATTGTAATAAGAGAAACAAAAAAGCACTAATATAATTTTCAACTTTCTTAACAAAAAAAAAAATCATTTAAACAATATTGAATTAAAAATGCAAAGATAGAATAATAAGAAAGCTTTATTATTTTGAAATCGAGAGCAAATTAATTATTTTCTCTTTGCTTAAAATGTTTATTCCATTAAACCATATGATTCAACCTAAATTAATATTTCATCATTTATCATTGGCAAAACACTATCCAGTAAAATGTAATAAACCATTGCATTTCTAACGACAGACTGTGAAAATAAATTTTCTATGTGGTTTATGAATATGTCGTGAAACATTTTATCAGTATAAAATGTAATATTTGTAAGCTATTCATTACAATGTTTTGACAGAGAAATATTTATTTAAATCATTAAATGAGATGTGGTATGCTATGAACTACACAAGAATACTTTGCCTCGTCGTACGTGCTGAGGTTTAGTTTTAAAATTCAAACGCTTTGCCATTTTGATAAAGTATAGGTAAAGCGTAGGAATTCTAAAATTAAACGCTCGACTGGATCTATGACTCCATTTTGACTAGCGATAGTGCTGAATGTATATTACCAAAGGGGAAAATAGTAAATAACTGAGAGAAAGAGGAAAACAAAATGCATATAATGTATACAGAGTGATTCCTCTATCATATAGCACTCAAATAATCACAAAATATATATAACATCTAAAAAAATTTTGGTTTTCTTAGATAAAAATATTTCACAATTTATCAGCTATTAATTATTTTTTGGCATCATCCTTATATAGGTGTCGTTTTAATAAGTTTAAATAGCTTATCAGACTAGTTTATAAAATAAAAAGCCATCTAATCAAAGAAATAATAATTTTAAAAAATAATAGATTTTAGGTAAGTACTTGAGAAATAATGATCCTTTTAAAATATTGACTGTGGGAGACGGCAGGGTATTTATATCATTAGAAATTTCTCTGTTGCACTCGTTCTGCTGTCCAAGTATAGAGATATGAATAAAATCCAAAAGTGAAAAATCGACCCGATTTTCTTAATCAGATGATTATCTGAAGAGTGAATGTGTCAAACATTCTATATGCCAAAAAAGTGAAAAATTGTTTTATTTCTGATTTATGTTCTATGTATCAAAGGCCACAATCTTGTATGTGTTTCAAATGTCAATTAAATTTTTTACTTGCACAAAATTGCATTCATAGATGGTGTTCATTATGTGAGACATGCCCATGTTACCATCGTTTTTTGTGTTTTCTGAACAAATATGTTTTTGGCACATAGAACGTTTGACACATTCACTCTTCATCTATTTTACAAATAATAAGTTGATATCCCTATAAGTTATGATGATAAAAAATTAATAATTTAGTACATCGAGATATAGACGCAACTAAAATGACCAAACATTCTTTGTCAATATCGTATATATTTTGTGATTATTAATTACCACTCAATTACTGGGTGGTTTGTGGCAAACGGACCATTCTGTATGTGACTAGATTTTTATTTGACCTGAATAAATCCGTCTTCGACTGGTTTATCGTCAATGCAGCTATACCGTTCTTCTTCCACATGACCGCATTACAAATATAAAAATAAAAAAAAATTCAACTTGCGACCGTCGGTGCGGATGTTTCGATTGAATCTTATGTAATATAAATTATATTATGAGCCGCTAGACAGTCGCCCTAAAAATCTCGGAACCGCAAAACATATTACCTGTCCAGATCACTGAGCCCCTTTCCATTTTGGGAGCCATCGCTGTTTTGAGGATGCACATAACCGCTGCGTGTGCAC